TTCCCAGTGAGTGATTTTGTAAACCTCTATGTATGTGGTGAAGCGAGTTCTTTTGGGCGGTAAAATCCGCAGAGATGTAAATTTTTGTGTGAGGATTAGTGGGAATAATGTCAGCCATGTAGAGTTTTGAAGCAGTGAGGCAAGGACTGAGCCTTGGGGTACAACTGCTTCTATAGGTCTGACATTTGGGAAAGTATCATTAATGAGCTTAACATGGAAAGTTCTGGCTTCAAGGATATTAATAATAATTTTGACGAGAGATAATAATGGGAGGAAATATTTGTCATGAAGTTTGACTATGAGGCCAGCATGCCAGACACGATCAAAGGCATCCTCAACATTGAGGAGTGGTTTTTCAACCAGCCTTACAAGCTGAATCTCAGTGGAATGTTTACAGCGAAAACCAAATTGTTCGTTAGGTTTTCATGAACTATTTTCTCAAGAATTTTGGAAAGTGAACACTGAAAACTAATTGGACGGTAATTTTGTGAGAAATGATGATCTTTATTTCGGTCAGCTTCCATGCTTTAGGAGAGTAATTGAGACTAGGGCAATCATTTAGAACGCGAGTAAATATTGTAATGACGTTGTCCGGAATGTTTTTGATGACTCTATCATCATCATAGCCAGAGGTTTTCTGCTGACTGAATGGATAATTAAAAATTTTATATCGTTGGTAATGTATTATTCAGAGGGACAGGCAACATACAGTTTTCTCTGTAGCGCCTGTCTACATCTTCTTCATGATCAATATCATCATCAAGGTCTTCATTAAGGGAAAATTGTGATTGAAGTGAGTCAGCAAAAGCACTCGCTTTTTCTTGATTGGTATTCACCAAACCAGCTCTATCATGAATGGTGAAAATTTGCCTATTTAAATTTTATTTTCCAGATAAAATTATCCTCAAATGACAAAATAGCAAGTAGGTCATACAGTCATTTACTTCTTCAGTTAATGAGCTAATAGCACTGTTAGTATCCAGAGTCGTGTTTAAAACGTCTGATGGGATATGATTGGCTTCAAGTTGAGATTTAAATTGCGAATAGTTATTGAAGGAAAAAGTATGGTGATAATTTACATTTTGGACCTAGTTACCAACTTAAGGACTACTTGGATTGTGGTCAGAACTGAGACCATTTATATTGCCAATACCAATGTTATATACTTAAGGGACATTTTTAGATAAAGCAAGGTCTAGAATGTTAGGGGTAATATAATGAAGGTATGTTGGCTCTAAGGAAGCATGAACTGAGATAAGTTTGTCCTGGGTGAATTGAAGTAGAAAAGTGCCTGGTGTATTATCAGAGCGACAAACCCAGGCTCTGTTTTTGTAGTTTAAATATGCTGTAACTAAGGTCGGAGTATTAGAGCCAAAGAAGAGGTTCATATCATACTGGATAAAGCGTTTAGAAGTAGGCTTATGACCGCTGAAAATATCAAGAGGGCCATCTGCAAGGTGGACCACCACACTATATTGTTTTTAATTTCAATGGCAATACCACCACTAGCACGGTTAGGTATGTCATTTCTGTATCTGTATTATAGTTTTGTACATTGTAAATTGTATGTGGTCTGAGCATAATTTTCTGGAAGTTCAAGATACAGCAATTGGAAGACACCTTTACCCAAATTAAGTCGGAACTGATGTTAGAGAAACCAGAATTCCGGTATTAACATTTAATGGAATCAAGCAAGAAACAATGGGAAGCAATCCAAAACCTGCACGAAGAAATCGCCGTATGTGAATATAGCCATCAAGAAAAGTACGTCATCCAAGACTTGTACAAAGAAGTTTAGAGCAAATTCGATGATGTCATTGAAGAGTTAACGGCAGAAACCCAGCAGAATGTCGTCACTCCAACTCAACAAATACTAGTGAGTCAACCACAACAGAACCTGCAGCTACAGAAATTACAAGTGTATGAAAACTGGTCTACATTCTTCGACATTTTCAGAAGAGTCATCCATGAAAACTCAGCGATGACCAAAGCCGACAAGATGCACTACCTAAAAACAAATAGCAGGGTGAGTTTAACGAGAAACCGCAACTGCTTTAATTAATTAATGGACGGGAGTTGCCCGTGCCAGATTAGTAGACATTTAGTACAGCCCCAAAGAAGGGCTACATGGTCTTAACTGATGCAATACGTATGCGTTATGTTGAAGAGAACATGTGGTTTCACACAAAAAGACCGATTCACAAGTTAATTCCTCTACCGACAGAAGACCCACACCATTTACCAACCATCCAAAATCAGTCAGAAGTAAGGAGATCAGATCATCTCTGGAACATAGCTCCAACATCAACTTAATCATATTTATAATGATGATGATCACAACCGCCACTGCAGAAAAAAGGATTTGAAATCAACTATCCGCAACATGGATTTTACGCTGAACACCTTGGATCAGTAAGAATTGATAGAGGTATTTTCAAAATAGAGACAACATAACCTAAGAACAAAACCGAAACCGACTTATTAGAGATGTCCACTGTAGTCAGCCAGTTTATCCTAGGAACAAAACCAAAACCGACTTATTAGAGATGTCCACTGTAGTCAGCCAGTTCAGAAAAATTTGCAACCAATCCAAGAAGCTCACCGATGACGTCAAATACACATCTCTCGTACAGCATTTAGAAGAAATGGGAAATCACTCTAAATGGATATTCGCGACCATGGACGACATTCACCACAGAACCAAGAGAAGAGTGTTTGGCGGTTTTTGGAGTGAACGGCGAAGTATATCAAGATATCGATGTAATCAACAACAATAAGGAAGAACTCATCAGAGCATCCAACTACCAAACAAAGTTTATGATTTCGGCCCTCACAAAATTCAACGAAACCGAATCACGAACAAACTGCAATATTTCCTGAAACGACTCAACGAAGGAATAGAAGCTATATGGTACAAACAAATAAATACCAATGCACTCAAAATTCACCTAATGAATGCAGCCATCAACTTACTCAAGATGTAGCAATAAATACAACAGAAATAATTCAGATTTCCCAAGACTGCACCATCCAGACAAAACAGAATATTCTACTCCCAAAAGAAGCGCAACAGTTCCAGTTTTAGGCAGCTATGTGAAAGCTGCACCCTTTATCTTCAATGGTACCCTCCACAAACACACACCTTCACAACAAAATTAATCAGCAGAAGACGTCAAAAGCAGTAACCAGATCAACACCAAGACCAAAACGAAGAAATATAGCTGATGTCTCTATATTCTTCCATTCCGGAGAGGCGGCAAAAAGTTTAATTAGAACAATTAGACAGTGATTAATCTTCAACAGCGTAATTTGGCCGACATCGTATACATATTTACATTTTTTATTATTATATTCAATATCACGTTCAGATTGTTATATAAGATTTTAGTTTAAGTCACAATGTTTGGGTACTATGTAGTCTTAAACAAAGCTGCTGTGTTCCTTGGGGTAGGAGAGCTATTTGAGCTGGTATTCGTTTCGATGGGGTTAACGGGACATTTCTGTTTGGGCATCTTGGACAATTCATATAATTGGCCGGATGTGCACTTTTACAGTTGACACATGTAGGGAGGGGGGAATTTCTGTTCTTTGTACATTTTTGGCAAAAATGATTGCCAGCAGGTTTTTTTTATAGGGGAAATTCAATGTCAGAGACGTACTCCTGAGAAGAGTTATATCATGGCCACGTACTGCCTATTTGAATGTCCAAGTCAACGTCTGACTGAGTCGGTATCATAATGATTTGAGTTTCACATGAAATGGTCTTGGTCTTGAGTGAACTGTTTTTACGAATTTCAAGCAGATTTCGTCCAATGAACTTTACAATGGTTTGTTCTTTTAAAATGTTGTTATCCTCTAATGGAAGTTCATAATTCTTTTCTAGAGAATGAAATGTAGCTGAGTGAACTGAGTCGTTGTGTGAAGCAGCTTTCAACTCACCCTTTATTTCATTATTATCAAAGTTTTTTTCATTTAGTATTTTCAAGCTGGCAGGATCAGAATTTTTTAGGCATATGAAGCTGATAGCACCGGAAGCGAGCTTCTTCTTCCGTATATTAGAACTGTTTTTCTTTGCAGAGGACATATGGGGAGATTCTGGCGGTGTGGCATGCACTTTCAAGGGCTCAAGAAACAACGCAATTTTTGACAAATTATCAGAATAGTTGTTTTCTGATGATAAGATTAAGAGTTTTGGAACAGTATTTCATTTTCATGAGCAATTATCATCAACATCTGATTTGGATGTGATCAGTACACATCACTTGGGAAACACCAAGAAATTGACGCGATGATTCCGGGTTTCATATGAAATAATTATGCTAAAAGCCAACAAAACCCAACATAAAATGTACATTTAAAAACGCCCATACAATTCTTATTAAAACAAATAACTGTTATTGGTCAAACGTAAACTTTGGTCACACCAAATAAAAGTTTAACGAAATGACGCACTTTATAAAATAATATAATAATTTTTATTGATATAAACCTACGTGTTTGGCAGTCATGCAATGGCGTTTCAATAATTATTATGCATAATTATTTTATTTTAATGTTATAATAATCGTTTTGTGTTTAGGCAGACTATATATGCAAAAATTTCCATATAAATAGGAATTTTAGAATCTGGTATACAAATGTTTTTTTCCTTTTGTATTGGTATAACAGGAATTTGAAAATACAGTAATAAAGCCATTTATCAAAAAAAAAGGGACTATGTATTTATACCTCTATAGTTTGTCAATTCCTATTGTCCCAGTACCAAGTATTAGTTTGGGCTGGGTATTGAATAGAGCAGGTACTTGAAGAGCATCTCTTGAACACATTTTAGAGTAATAAAGAGAGTTTTAGGATGAAAACACATCAATAAAATTAGAAATGTATAATTTAACTGCAAAAAAGCGAAAATTCACTTAAAATATTATATGAATATATACTTCTCAGAAGTTTAACTGTACAATTTTGAAACGTTACAAGTTTGTAATTGCCAATTTACTTACCCCGTTTCTGCATAAACGAAAAGAGATCGTCCAGGAATTCTTTTCTTTTAGGATCGTCGTTGATTTCGTACAACTGAAAAACAAATACAAGAATTTTTATCTTTTTTGAATTTTTCTTTAGGTAGGTATATCTAGCTTATAATAATTATTATGTTCCGCCCGCATATGGTAACCTAGTCGATAAAGGTTTATCAAAAATAAAATTACAAAATAAAAAATGTGTATTAATCGCTCCATATTCAAAACAATTATAATAATATAAAACATCCTTGAAAATTTACGTGTTTTTATGGAAATAATAAACTCGATATCAGTATCATGCCCTCACGAATATAAATTATTCATGTATATTATAATGTTTGTATTCACGTATAATTTTAATTATCAATTTATCGTGCAACAATAAATTTTTATTATCCGCTAGCCGCATTAACCTATTTTGCTATAAATTACATTTTAATGCTTGGTTTATAATTATTACTTACTTTGCACAAAATTATTATTATTTTGATATCGTACTCGACTTTAATTAGAAAATAATCGAAGCAACAAAATATTACGCGCCCGCGGGTAATCGCTTGTAATGTGGTGTTAAAACACCAGCCCATTGTAAGCCGAACGGAGGGGTTGCGGAGGTTAAACATGGTCATTAATAACCTTGGTTAACTAATCTGTCCGCCGGAATCATCTATCTTTACAAGTTACTCGCCGGGCCCTAAGCGGCCTCCTTTTTTTTTATTTAAAAGAACACCAACATCATCTCGATTAAAGGCCATAACGAATTTATGCACTGCGATCTGTTTGGATGTTTTAACCAGCAAAAACAGCTTCTAATTAGATGAAACTTATATAGTAACTTCGGACAATGTTTGAATAGAATCTTTGCACTTTGTTGATGATGACACTGATTGAAGATTTATAGATTATATTTTATTGAAAGCTATCCAGCTATATAGGACGAAGCGGTTCATCGTTCAATACAGATTCTTCATTATGTATTTGGTTCAGGTTCCAACGAAGAATAGTAAAACCTACTCTCCATTCATATTTAGATTCGACCTTCTGTCATAATAAGGCTATATAATCGTTCAATTTGTATCTTTTAAAATATCGGTCCGATCACAAAAAACAAGTCTATACTACCTAATGGTACCCATGAGCGGAAAAAATCAAGTGACGAATAACCCTCCGTTTAAAAACGTTAAGGTTGAATCGTTCAGAAAATGAAATAGGAGGCAAGGGGTTCTAAACTCAATAGAACCCCGGATACAGTTTACGATGGAAGTTGAGAAGGACAACAAAATTGTATTCCTCGACGTTTTCTCAAAGAGATTATCCGCAGGTAAACAGGGACACAGAATATATAGGAAGCCGACGCATACGGACAGATACCTCAACAAGGAATCCAATCACCATCCTAGGCAAAAGAGGGAGTGATTGAAACTCTATCTGACAGGGCAATCCGGATTTGTGAACCCAGATACCTTCAGGACGAGATGCACCACCTAAAATCAGCACTTGAAGGAAATGGGTACTCCAAGCAGGAGATAGATAGAGCTATAAGACCGAAGTAACAGCGCACAAATAATAAGGAACCAGCACAGGTAGCAGGAATAACCTTTTTTCCCTACATCAAAAATGTCACAGATCGCATAGGACGAACTCAAGAAAAACACAACATTAAGCCCATCATCTATAAGCCCACAAGAACAATTCAGCAAAGTCTAAGATCCAGGGCACCTCTTGAAACAGCTGGCGTCTATAGAATTCCCTGCTCTTGTGGATCTGTTTATGTAGGAACAACCAAACGCTCTATCGGCACCAGGGTCAAAGAGCCCAAAAGAAACTGTCAGCAAGGACAAATAGATAGATCAGCATTCGCCGAACCCGTGTTAACACAAAAAAACCATGTCATCCGTTCCGACCAGACTCCATAGAGAAGCCATAGAAATACAGAAACGCTACAACAACTTCAACAGAAAAGAAGAGGGCTTGAACCTTAACAAAAGCTGGTTGCCAGTCCTCCGAAAAACAAAGACTAGCAAACTTACTGAAATGATAACCCTATTGGACAAGGAGGAGTGGTACTCCTTGTAAGGAGAGACGTCACACACTACTTAATTGGACACAAAGAAGGCCTAATCGAAAATCTGACAATAATCGCAACAATAAACGGAACCAAGACTGCCATTACAACAGCCTATAGAAATCCAAGAGAGCAGCTAAGAGAAGAAGACATCTCTGATCTTCTAAACGACAATAAACCCAAGATTATTATAGGAGATTTAAATTGTAAATCTCCTTTATGAAACACCACACAACAATGCCGAAATGGTACATTATTATGCAACATAGCCAAGAACCAAGAAGCCTTTGAGATAGGGCCCACAAGTCCAACGTACATGCCACATACTCGAGGCAACCCACAAATACCTGACATTGCTGTGTTGAAAAATATTACACAAGAATTTGATATTGCAACCATCAACTGCGGTTCTTCAGATTACAACCCCATAACAATAACGTTGGGTAGAGGGCAAAAAAGTGTGTATATTTTCAAGAAAACTATCACAAACTGGTCTGCTTTCAAAAATAATCTCAAGGCCACCTTTCTGCTTCCAAAAATCAGAACCAATGATGAAATAGAAGAAGCTGCAGTGTCTTAGTCTAATGTAATTATTAACGCTTATGAAACGAATTCAGTGACGAAAAATATTAAAAAAGGGTCAATCAAATTTCTCCCAGCTAACCTCCAAGCGATTATTAGAGGGAATAGAAGACTCAGGAGAAGATACACCACTATTAAAAGACCAGAAGCAAAGCAAGTACTCAATGAACACTCTCATGTTATGAAAGCAGCACTCAAACAAAATCGAAATAACAACTGGAATGCAAAACTGAGAAGATTAGACACAGCCAATTAATCGGCGTGGCAAATGCAAAAAGCCTTAAGAAGAATCAAGTCCATAATTCCCCCCATAAATAGACTTAATGGAATAACCCTTTCTGATGCTGAAAAAGCAGAAGCATTTGCTGACACACTCGAGGGAGTCTCCACATTGAACCAAATAGAAAACGAGATTGACAGGGAAGTTGAGAAATGATTGAGCTTGTCCACGCCAAAGACTGCCATCAATTTTGTCACCCGGGCGAAATCACGAAACTAATAAAGGAACTGAAGACCAAGAAAGCACCCGGTAGCATCTAGACATTCCACTATACAATTCGGCACCCGTCTCTAAGGCGATTGGCTGATTTAAATAATATTTTGAAATGAGGCCGAAACGCATAGTGGACTGTGTGAGCAGTGCTCAAATCATGAGTGGAATGTTCATACTCATTATGCATAAGTGCAACAACAGAAGTGCTGAACCACGTAGTAGAATGTCAGGACGGTGCCCAAAACGAGAGTGCAATGCCCTATGATGATTTTTGCGCTACGCATGCGGCTAATTACTGGAATGTAGAAATTTTTCAAATAGGTAGGTTTTTTTTTTTTTTTTGAGGTGATTCAATTAAAAACCACTAATTAGGTATATAATATTAATGTAGTTCATTTTAGAAAATATGTAATTTATACATAGTACGAACATACATAATGTTATGAATAGTTCCTAAAAATTTTTGATTTTGATTAACTTTCAATATTAATCAAGAAAATGCAGACTTACTCAAACTAACCCGTCGGCCTAGGCGCTAGTGCGATCTAGTCCTCGTAATTTACTATTTTATTTGAAAAAACAGAGTAAATCTAGTTATAGCGTAGCGTCCTTTGAGCGCGCTTTTTTTTTCAAATAAAATGCTAATTTTCACGAAGACCTTGATCGCACTAGGCGGACGGGTTAGTTTGGGTTAGTTTGCGTAAGTCTGCATTTTCTTGATTATCATTAATTCAATTTCATGTGTCGCTGTTTTGTTTAGAGGTCTCCGTTTTAAATGTCGCTCTATTAATATGTCGCGGTGTTAAATGTCGTTTTTTTCTCACATATTGTGTCTTTTGATATATCGCTCTTTTGCAATGTCGCTGTTTCAATGTATCGCGCTTTTGAATGTCGCTCTTTTGATATGTCGCTGTTTTGAATGTCGCTATTTTGATATATCGCTTCAACAATACGTCGCGTTTTTGATGTCGCTATTTCAAATATTGCCCTTTTGAACCGGAGCCGCGATAAAGAAATCAACATACCATAACTTCCAATCAATTCTACATTCCACATCGCGATTCAGCACCGTTCGCACAATCCACTATCTTATTGAGCAGCACGTATTGGCGGCAGCTTGAAATAAATCAACTGAAGCATATGACATTGCACTCTCGTTTTGGGCACGGTTCTAACAATCTACTACGTAATTCCGCACCTTCTATGGTTGCACTCAAAATTGACCAATCAAAATTGAGGCGGGTGCCGAAATCTATAGTGGAATGGCTAAATGCCACCCGGTAACGATGGGGTCGAAAACAAAATTGTTAAAGAACTTCCTCCAAGAGCGTCAACAGTAGTGGCAAACCTGGCAAACGCCATCATTAGGAATAATTACTTTCCAAAGATCTGGAAAAAGTCCAATATCATAGTATTGAAGAAGCCAGGTAAAGATGCCAAGTCTCCTGACAGTTACCGACCAGTTAGTCTCCACCTTAAGCAAGATTATTGAAAGAAAAGACTGTCACAGGAAAGAGAAAATATGTTCCAGATTTCCAGTTTGGCTTCATGACAGGACACTCGGCTGAACAACAAACACTGCGCATCACAGAGGGTTTCAATAACAGAATGGCAACCGGAGCTGTAATGCTCGATGTGGAGAGAACGTTTGACAAGCTGTGGCATTTAGGACTGATAGAAAAGATGGAAGCTTGGAATCTATCCCCTAAATGGTGCCAACTTATTCACAGCTATCTCACAAACCGTGAGTTTGAAGTAAGGATAGGGAACCAGTTATCTTCTACCAGAAGAATTGAGGTAGGAGTACCCCAAGGTTCTGTTCTAGGACCCTTGCTTTACAGCCTTTTCATAAGCGATCTCTCAACCAACCCCCGCACAGAAACAGCACTATTTGTCGACGACACGACTATAA